TCACGCGAAATTTCAACGTAGGTGGAGCCTAGTCGTGTTTGGGCTCATTTTAAAGCTCTTGTTAAAACAAAATCATTGCTCATAATTTTAATCTGAAATATTGATTTTCAAGACTACAAACTACAAATTTTCATGGATTTTCGAAAAAAATTTCAGACCACCCAAAATTCGCATGGCTCTGGAACGTCCATATTGCTCATAATTTTATCACTGGAGCTGATCGACTAGATGATAAATTGTTGGATTTTTTCGAACGGAAAGAGAAAGAGGTACCAGAGAAACGAGAGTGTCTGCGTCTCCTCCCCTTCTCTATCTCGTCATGGAAGCGGCGCCACTTTAAAGACGCATATCTCCAAAACTACTGTAGCTAGCTTAACTTTGCAAATTACAAAAATGTGTGAAATTTTATGCTGAGCATTTTTTTAGTTGACAACTTTCCAATAGCTACTGTAGTTTTTGAGATATACGTTGTTAAAGACAACCCACTTGAATAAGTCATAAAATTGATTTCCTTACTGCTCTGCGCTCTCCTTATCTCTCTTTATCTCTAATTTCCCGAATTTTCAGCTTGACCACTACTTTATCATTCTAACTTCTGATCACGGCTTCAGAATGTCTGATTATCACCTGTATGAGTCTGAAAATGGAGCAATCGAAAAGCATAATCCTTATTTATCAATCTCGGTGCCCAAAAAGTACCGTAACCCGGAAATTCTACAAATTATGAGGGAGAATTCACAACGACTACAAACTCAGTACGATACCAGAGCCACGTTGCTGGATATTTTGAAGGTAAGCGAGAGAGTATGGAGGGCGCAGAGAAACGAGAGCGCTCTCGTCGTCTGCGCCTGCTCAAACCTTGAAAATATCTTTAAAACTACAGTAGCTAGCAAAATTTTAAAATTTGGAAAATGTCTGAAATTTTTTGCTGAGTAATTTTGTGATTCAGTTTTTTGTCTAGGTATCGTAGTTTTCTAGTTATGCGCATTTAATGCATCATTGTTACAGCTCTTGGCGAGCTCTGTAAGAATTTTGCTTCGAAATTTGTTGAAAAACTAAGATAATCGAGAAAATTTCATTTTTCCAAAAACTAAAAAAATATATATAAACATTCGATTTCTAGCAATCTGAGCAATTTTTTTTGCTCATTTCTTCCATACTTACCATATACCCTCCGTCCTTGTAATCCTTAAATAAATGTTGCTTATCGTCTAAATACTTTTCACAAAACTCCGTTTCATTCCAATCCACTTTTATCGATTCTCCGCTTTTCAATTTTCCCAACTCGATTTGTTTTCCTAAATTAATTTATTCGCATTAGAGTGCATGTGCATAATCCACCCACCAAACCATAACGCAAGCCCGTTTGGCTTGCTGTTTAGCCCAACTTGACTCAAAAATGGAAATTCCACAGATTCAAATCGGCTTTTCAGGAATTCCAAGGTTTTGGGAAGACTTCTGAATACTGAAATTGGATTTGTTGGGTTGAGAGCTTCAAAATGAGCCCAAACACGACTAGGCTCCGCCTACTTTAATTTTTGAGGCGCGTCGCGGTCGTGCGTCGCGTGTCTATGGGAGAATTTCAAAGTGGGCGGAGCCAAGTCATGTTGGAGCTTATTTTGAAGCTCTTATTGTGTTGAACTCGACCCAGATTGAAAAATTGTGAAGTTCTCGAAAATGGAGTCAGAAATCGGAATTTTCAAGAATTGCAAAAATTCTCGATTTTTTCAGATTTTTTGATATTTTAAAATACGTTTTCTTAGTTTTTTTTTGTTTTCACTGATTAGATCTCATCAAATGCTTCAAAATGAGCCTAAACACGACTAGGCTCCGCCCACTTTGAAATTTTTCGTCGGCGCGACGCAAGACCGCGAAGCGCCTGAAAAATCAAAGTGGGCGGAGTCTAGTCGTGTTTGGGCTCGTTTTAAAGCTCTCAATCTAACAAATTCAAATTTTTAGTTTTCAAGTCCCGAAAGCTCACCGTTTCGCCATTCCGACACTCATAGAATTCACCAAATACACGAAAACATTTGGTTTTTCCTCTTTTTCATCGATTTTTGGTATCTTTTTTGGTATGATTTGTGTATGAATATATCCAAAAACTTCAGTTTCATTATTTTTCCAGCACACAGTCTCCAAAAATTCACAATCTACGTGTCCGGGTGCAAACCAAGCGGTTTGGTTTAGTGGTCCATTGAATTCGTCGATGTAGTAGCATCTGGAACAAAAATTTTCAGTTTTTGAGTGAAAATTCGATTTTACAAGATTGTAAGCTTCAAAATGAGCCTAAACACGACTAGGTTCCGCTCATTTCGATTTTCAGGCGCGTCGCGGTCGTGCGTTGCGTGCCGGTGTGAAATTTCAAAATGGGCGGAGCCTAGTCGTGTTTGAGCTTATTTTGAAGCGCTCGTCAACCTGAATTCAAATCAATCAGTATAATTTTTGAGAAATCAGAAAGAAAGCTAAATTTTCCATTTTTTCGAAATTGAAAAAAATATTGGAAAATCAATTTTTTGCAAAATCGATTTTTCTTTAAGTGTTGTATACCATTAGAAAGCCCTTAAAATTTCCAACAAATCCGTGTAGTTTTCAGATTTCTAGGTTTATTTTGAAGCAAGTTATGCGCCTTTAATTTTGTGGGTTAGAGACGCAGAGACTCTCGTTTCTCTGCGTCTCTCAAAAATTTCAAACCGCTGTAACTCTGCTCAAAATTGTCGTGGAATCTTAAAATTTTTTGCTTTTTGTAGGAAATTTTCCGTATTTTCAGATGATAAAAAAATCTTACCGTCCCAAGCACTCCAACCCTGGTTCCGGCTCCTTTAAAATCCTCCATGTCCCATTTTTCAACAATTCTGTATACGGTGCCCAATTTCGAACACAATTTTCCGTTGGATTTTTTGCTTATATCAAAAACGGCTCTATTTTTGGATCCCATGGATCATAGGTGACAGACAGAGCACAGTAATCCATGAAATTTGATAAGATATCAGTTTGATAGTGGCCATGGACTTCTGAAAATAGAATTTTCTGAGATTTCAAAATTTTCAAAATCTTAAAAAAAACCTTGCTGCTCCCAAAATGAGCTATAAAAAATAAAAAATAGCACAAAAATTAATAAAAAAGAAATTTGAAAAAATTTCCTACTGTAGAAATTCTGGCGGGAAGTTTGAATATTTAAATTTTGATATTGTACAATTTTTGGCATAATTTTTTTTTGGGGTAGGGTTTGAGTGACTAACCATTGTGATAAGAAAAAAGCAAAAGGCAAATGTATACGTATGTGTACTTTTGGGAGAAAATTGATAAGATAGAAGTAAGAAAGAAAGGGAGAGACCCAGAGAATGACACAGAAAAATTGGAAAAACCGCATTCTGAGGCTTTAAGCCTTCTGAAATCCACAAAACTTTTTGAAATTCAAATTCAGCAGATTTTCAGCTTCAAGATGAGCCTAAACACGACTAGGCTCCACCCATTTTGAGTTTACCGATGCGTCGCGGTCGTGCGTCGCGTGTCCAGATGAAATTTCAAAGTGGGCGGAGCATAGTCGTGTTTGGGCTCATTTTGAAGCTATTGATTTGAAAAATTTGATAAAATGAAAGGATCTATCAGAATTTCAAGAGTACAGCCGGAAAGTGGAAGTTTCGGAAATACAAAAAATGTTTTAAAAATTATTTTTCGAGATTTTTAATCTATATTTTTTGAATTTCTCACTATTTTTGAGTTCAACTCATGCAGACCTTCAAAATGAGCCTAAACACGCCTAGGCTCCGCCCACTTTGAGTTTCAGCGAGTTCCGTCAGGCGCGTCGCGGCTGCGTCGCGTGTGTGCTCCTAACCTTTTTCATCCCAATAGACCGATGCATACAACGCAATGAAAACGAGAACAAAAACGATGAAAAGTGTGTAGAAAAGGCGATTTCTGAAAAATTCTAATTTCAGATTTTTTTCAAAAAAAAAATTAAACTTACGCATTCAAAAATCTCCGTGATTTGTCAGAAGCTTCTGGAAAACGCGCTCTTTCAATAGAGCGAACTTACTCGACTTTTCATGTTCATATTCGAACAGTAAGCGCTTTTCTTCTTCATTGGCGTCCCACATTTTTGAAAATTTTTAAGGTTTTTGATTTGTGCCAAATTTCAAGGTGTGGTTGGTGATGACACATAAAACCTGTTGGCGAATTTTTCACGGTGAAAATTGATTTTTTTAGGTGACAAATTTTAAGAATAATTTATTAATTTAAAATAAATTAATTAAATGTGATTTTGGCTTCCGGACGCAGATTTGAAATCGAAAAATTACAAAAAAGATCCCAAAACACTTTTTAGGGGTCCTCACAAAAAACAAAAAAAAACGAAAAAAGACTTTGACCACTGAGCGGATCGAACGCCCAACCTTTCGATCTGGAGTCGAACGCGCTACCATTGCGCCAAGCAGTCACGAAAGCGGAGCAGGGTAGATGGCGTATTTGAACCACAAGGAAAACGTGAAGAGACGCAGAAAGGGAGAGGGGGAGGAGGCGAGGTGATGATAAGTATCACATTGTTAACTAAAGAGGTAGATATTTGGATTCATAACTTTGCTGAAACTCCATATTTTTGAACTTTGTAAAATGTGAAATGTATAACTTGAAAAGTTCTACAAAATGGTATAAAATTCAAGAAGATTCCGTCTGTGGTATGTATCAAGTTTTATTAATAAAGTATTTATGAACGGGATAATGGGAGATTTGGTAAAACGATGGCTCCTTGAGTAACTGAAACAAGTTTAATACATATCAAATTTATACTGTTTTGTAGTCCTTTTCAAGATCTACATTATACTTTTTGAGCCGATTGAAAATGTTGAGTTTGAAGGAAGTTATAAGGCAAGAAGTGAGGTCTTGGTGTTCGCTACTGATATGCATCAGATTATGCCTAGTAACTTCTTTCAAACTCAAAGTATATGAATAAATTAAATTGGAAAATATAGATCTTAAAAAGGGCTACAAAATAAATTACAATTTCATATAATTCTGTAAAAAGCTCGGCCAGCTGGGAAGCATGTAAGAAGCTAGCTTGTATTACAATTCTTATGTTCAACATTTTTCAATGCTTCCTGCTGATTATAATTTTTGTTTGAATGTTGACGGATTATATATCATTTTGTAGCTCTTCTCAAAATCTACAGTTCACTGTTTTGAGATTTTCAAAATGTTGAGTTTGAAAGAAGTTACAGTCCAAAATGTAATGGAGCCAGGTGTAAGCTACCGCTATGCATCAGAATTTACCCTGTAACTTCCTTCAAACCCAACATTTTTGAAAAATTCAAAAAGTGAAATGTAGCATTTGAAAAGCGTTACCTGCCTACTATTAAAGAAAATCAATTAGATTCAGTTTTTCCTCTATTTCTTTCTGTTTTTTCCTCCTATTAATCAGAAATTGTTTTTCTATATCAAAATCCTGGTCATCATCATCATCATCATCTTCTTCTTCTTCTTCCTGTTCTTCATTACGTTCAAATTCAAAACCTCTGGCCCAAGCCCTCAATCTCAATCGTGGGCAGCACATTTGAATGAATATAAACAGTATTAAGCAGATGAAAAACATAACAACGCAAAATGAGAAGGTATTCAAAATTGTTTCGAGTGTGATGAGACCGAAGAACATTCTGGAAAATTTCCTATAAGAAGCTCCATAAAGTGGCTTTCTACGACTAGTTTAAGCAAAGTTAGGGTCAAAACTAGTTTAAAAGAACGGTTTTTGAATTTTTGGCCTTAATTTTGATTCAATCAAAAATTTAATATTGAATTTAAATTCAGCAAAGTGAGAGCTTCGAAATGAGCCCAAACACGACTAGGCTCCGCCCACTTTCATTTTGGAGGCGCGTCGCGGTCGTGCGTCGCGTGCCGACGAGAAATTTTAAAGTGGCCGTTTAGGCTCATTATGAAGCTAACAAGGAGACCTTTGCACTAGCTACGATTTTAGTATGAAATATTAGACTACAAACTACAAATTAAGACACCTTGAGCGCTGGTGAAGGGCTTCCTTCCTTAAAGGCGCATATCTCAAAAACTACAGTATCCAGATAAAAACGTTCAACAGCAAAACTGTCTGAAATTTAACGTTGAGCATTGTTGTAGTTGAAAATTTTTGTCTAGGTACCGTAGTTTTTGAGATATGAGTCTTTAACAAGAAGCAGACATTTCTATCGCGGATAAGATATGTCTTTTTTAAAGACGCATATCTCGAAAACTACAGTACCTAGACAAAAACTGTAAATTGCAAAAATATCTAAAATTTTACGTTGAGCAATTTTGTAATAAGTAACTTTGTTCTAACTACCGTAGTTTTTGAGATATGCGTCTTTAAATCAAGCACACCTTAAACTGAAGCGGTGAGCATTGAAGCTGAGCAATAAAGCTGATCAATTTCGAAAAAAGAATGAAATCTCATGATTTTCAACTCATGTGACTGTTAATCACTATGTAGAAACAGCACGAGTTGTACTATTCAAAAATGTCGAAATCCCTAGAATTTTCGAAATTTACCACAAAAATGATATCAATGTTTTTGAAATATCAAAATTCTTGGAAAACAGAAAATTTTCGAAAAAATGTCGAATTTCAAATGTTTCACAAACTACAATAAGCACAAAATGATATCAGTGGAAAGTTTACATCGAGGACCCAGACACAAGTCACAAAAAGATTACTGTAGTTATGAGCAATTTGTCTGTGTGTCTGTTGGTCCATGGCATTTTTCGACTTGAAAAACTCAGTTTCAAATGCTAAAATTAAGAAAATCGAATTCCCCATTAAAAACTACCCTAGAAATCATTAAAAAAAACGAAAAAATCATGGTGGCCGAGTTTTAGGAATTTCAAGGCCACCGGATGCAAAAGTTAGGCCATGAGTGTTTTTGAGTCGGGAAATCAGTTTTTTAGGCTAGTTTTTTATGAGAAAGTCAATTTTCGTGTTTATTTTTATTAAAACTCCATGGTAATACTAGGAAAATCAATTTTTGAACAAATTTTGGAATAAAAAACATTTTTTTGAATTTTTTCCATTAATTGTAAGGTTCATAAATCTGTTTATATGAATGTCTGCATTTCTGGACAAATAATTTATTAAAAAGAAAAAGTATGGATTTATCAATTAAAAATGATTTCCTGCAAAAATTACTTGCTGAAAAACAGAAGTTTAGCGATAAAATAAAGGATAAACCAAATAATAAGAGTGGCTGAATCTGAAAATCAATTATTATCTCATTTTTAAAAGACTTACTAACAAGTTACCAATTACAAAACTGTGTTAAATTCAATTTCACACATTTTTGTAATTGACAACTTTTTTCTAGCTACTGTAGTTTTTGAGATATGCGCCTTTAAAGAGACGCAGACACTCTCCG